ATTCTTAAAGTAGCTGACTGCTGCGTTCTAAAGACTCTATTCGATATAGGTCAAAAGATTGAATTTCTTGACCAGCATTCTAAAAATTCAGAACTTGCTAGAATGTTTCGCTGGTGGGTGCGTAGGCATTCATCAGGACTAATAATGATTTAATCCCCTTGAATTCTCTCCCGTTGGGTCATTCCCCTTCTCATAGTATGAAATAGAAATAGGCTCCTTGTTACAGTATAAAATATGAATAGGTCTATTGTATCTAGGAAAAAAAAAAAAAAAGGGGTATGAACGTCCAGCAGAGGGACTCATGCAAGTAATTTCATCAGTCCAACATATATATTTCTCTCGTGGATGTAGCCATCGGATCGTAATCTCAGTCATGTATCGTTCCAGAAAATCTCAACAAAGCAATAGCGACTCTTCAGATTTTGAATTTAGAAATGTACTCAGTCCGTCGTCCGCCTTGGGAATTATCAAGCTCATCTGGACTTTTCTTGTTTAGCATGTACGGTGAATCTAGCCAAAAATGTGACCTTTCTTGTCCTAACTCCTAACATTTCAGGTTTCTTCATCCTCAGACACGCGGTGGCTTCCAATGCGAATAGCGACCCTACCATACTAAGATTCTATTCATTTTCTATGGGAATTGAAATTTCACCTCCCGCAAAAAAATTCAAGAGTGATATCAAAATATTCTTTTGATCTAATAAAGTCTATATACCTGTTAATCCCTTAACACAAATCTCTTTAGGTTTCTACTCTCCTCTAAATTAAGATAGAATAGATTATACAATTATTGTTGTCGAAAAAAAAAAGAGATAAAATACTAGAATTCGAATTCTAAGAACATAAAAAAAAATTGTTTTTGGGGGAAAGAACATAAAGATTAACCATAAATTTTGCTTACATCTTTTAACTAAAATTATGTCCTTGTACATTTCTTTATGAATATCAAAAGAAATAATATTGATAATAATGAAAATTCAAAGGATGTTCCTACATTGCCTCGGAGTGTCTGTCATACGTTAAGAAACTTGAGAAATCTCGGAAAATATACAAATTCATAAACCAAAAAAAAAATGAAAAAATATCGAAAGATAAGAAATGATTAGATGTCCAACTTTTGCGAGCAAGTGCTAGCATAAAAATTGTGTATATATGGTGGAAATTTGTGGATTCCTCCCGACATCAGCTTCGTCACATTCAGCCTAATTATCCAGATTCTTCCTCCATCGCTTGATGGCATCGCCAGGAATTGAGTTGATGATAACTGAAATCAATAATATATACAAAAATTTTAGCCGCTAAACACTCTCTGCATGTACAACGAATTCACATGCATGCATTGAAGTGTTATTATTATCTAATCTCATAATTGAAAATTTTATTTACAATGACTACAAGAATCCCACTTTCCAAGAACAATTCTCATTGAGTTAAAAAAAAAAAAGAAAAAAAATTAAGGGAAAACAATAGAAAAGCCGATCGATCGATTGGGAGGTCAATGAATCCAGACACCCCCATGGAACTGTGGCAGGCAATCACGCCTTGATAGAGTGCATGTTCATTTGACTCTCCTTAGTAGTAGTAGCATTAGAATTATTTTTCTGATCGTGTCGAAACTCGAACCAACAATCTCCATCAGGTGGTGGAGGATCAGGATCGCCCAAATAATCCTCCGGAAAACCAAGCGACTCCATCACATCTTCCCCGCTCCACCCCCACGCAACAACCTCTTAGACAATACCTTCACGTGCCAGACGATCCCTTCCTTATCAATCAACGCAGCGTTCTTATCAAAGCCATTTCGTCCGGTGCAGTGATCATCATCGGTCTCATCACAGCCGTCCATCATCATCATCTCCCTTACATCCTCTTCTTTCCACCCTCCGTTCCTCAATCTCCAAAACACCTCCTCCAAGCACCCCCCTAACTCCCCACTCCACCACCTGCGCGTGCCACCACGCGCCGCCAGCCTTTCCCCCTCTCCACCAACTCCGACCATACCTCGATCCTCCTCGGCTCAGTCGCGGCCCAGGCCGGCGTGCTGAATAATTTGGACAAGGTGGGCCTTCTCAAGATGTCCTCGTTCGTCGTGAATTCCGCCTGCTGGAAGAATCCGGCTATATCGAAACTCCACAGCTGAACATTCCCTCCATGCACGTAAAACACGGGATTCCCCGCCATACACGGCGTCGAAGGAACGTAGAAATGCCGGTACACCGGAACAAGAAACGGCGCATTTCTCATGAATCCTTTACCTAAATTCACAGCTTGATCATCATCTCCTGGCCTTTCACCCCAAGAATCGAGCCACAAATGGTTTCTTGATATTTCCTTGCATACACCTGAGACGGGTAGACTGGTGAGGGCCTGAAGTTGTTGAACGGAGGAGGATGATCGCCAGTTGGGGAAGCGGGGCCCACAGGGAGGCCTTCTTGGAGAATAGAACGTAAATCGGGGGGAAATGTGAAATTGAAGGTGGATTCAATGGAGGATAATTCGGCGTCGGTGAGGCCTTCTTCAATGGGAATATCGGAGGATTTTAGGTAATGAATGAGGTTCTTGGTGTAGGCTGCAAATGAAAAACAAACCCGCATGGTTTTGGATCGGTGACCGCCATGGTTAATGGGCTCAGCGGTGGTTCGACGAGTAGTGCTGCTGCCATTGAATACGAGTACTTGGGCTAATATTGATTGACAACAACAACAACAACAGTTGCAGATAACACGTGTTATGGAGTAGATAATGCATATGGAAGCAAGCCAGTAATGGTAATTCAGATTTGAGTTTCGTGTTTATCCACACTGGCAGGCCGGGATAGAGTAGTTAGAGCATATAAGGGAGGAAAAAGTGAGTGAGTTTTTACGGGAACTTTTGATGCTCTATTCTCACAACTCCTCTCATCTGATGTCGGGACTCTTGAGACTATTTCAAAGTAACAATGAACTGAAGCGATTTGTTTTGGAATTTTGAGGGCACAAAAATGCAAAATGGGGTCTCTGACTAATCATGGAATTGATACGTGAAGTCTTTGCTAACTTGGCATGGTTGTAATGCACAGTCCAAATGTCACTTCTTCCTGATGATCCAATATTTTGTAGGAGATTTGGAGTCTGGCTGAAGTGCTGAACCATGCGTTGTCAATCAAGTTGGGGTTCTCAATTGTTCTTTCACATATTTCCTTGCTTATGGTCAGAGATGCGGCTTTACTAATCAGTACGAGGGCGGCCGGCAGCCTAATTCAGATTTATAAGAAGAAATTTTGTGCTAGTAGTTTATATCGGGAAATCAAAAGGTTCAGAAAATTCTAGCCGTCCAACCAATAGTAGGCTTAGTCGCTACAGAGAAATATCAGGAATTGTTAATTGGTATCAGGTAAGCAACTAATTTATAGAAAATGTAGTTGGCTTATGAGAAATTTTCAGTTGCATAAAAAAATCAACCTTAACAACAAGACATTTGTTATTTGTTTCACCAGCTGTTATAATACAAATGTTCAAATTTTAGGCACCGACCGCCCTTCTCGATCACCTTCCCCTTCGTCCGCCCTCTCCTTGCTGTGAGGGATCAAGACCATATTAGTGGTGGCATACTGCTTTATAACGTAATCTTTTATATTTGGAGGAAATAGAGATAAAAAAAAATGTTATCAAGGAGAATTGATGCAAGTGCTTCTATATATTTATGCAGTCGTCGATTAACTTAGAAGTAGCACCTATTCTTGCGCATTTCGTCATTTAGCTTCACTTTGAATAAGAAAAATGAAAAGGCAGTCGATATTAATTTGTTACAATTCAAATCTGAATGCCATGAGCATTCCTACACCATCCATCTCCTCAATTTTTTACTACTATATTTAACTTGACTTTAGAAACATTTTATGGTAAATTACTGTGACGTTAGAACTTGAACTTTGAGAATAGCACCAGCCAAATAAAAGTCGTCCGAGACATCTCAGCTTCTATCACATTTATAATTTCCTTCCATCCAAATGAAGAGAATTTTCTTGTCATCTGCTCCTTGTTGGAATTACTATGGAAGCAACTCAGAATTGGAGAAAAGGAATTCGCCTAAAAGGTTCCTAACCACCATAATCTTGTCGATAGCTTGTCTATTGCTTTGACCGTTTCTCCTCCTTCTTCTTCTTCTTCGTATCCCCTTTTGCGCGACACGTTATTTCTGAAATTGGGAGTCTGTTTCTTTCTTTCTAGATAAATTGAGGACCGTGTTGATAATTACGTTTTGGCAATCCTGATACTTAACCTATACATAGAACCATTTATGTGCTCTTACTTTTCTAACATTCTATACAGATCTCTTAAAGAGCCTGGAACACGGCTTTTTGACGAATGACTCGATGCTTGGGATTTTTTTTAGGACACGGTGGAATCTATTTTAGACATGCTCCTACTTTATACTAGAGGGAAGGAAGGACCCGAAGAGATCCGCTAGGACACGATGGAATCTATTTTAGATATACTCCTACTTCATACTAGAGGGAAGGAAGGACCTAAAGATATCCAAGAAGAACTTGGAGGGGACTAATTACCGGCTCAAATGGGTATCTTCTCCGTTTGACATGCGGCTGTGTTTACACGGATGCTTACCTTCACAAGATCGAGTTGCTAATAAGGCACAAAACATACAGGTTAAATTTAAACTCAATTCTATCAGTAGTTCTTCAAATGGATGCAAAATTTTCGCACAAGTATGTCCAACATTGTCAAATTTCAAGGACCTTTCACTGGTCAAGCATTATCTTCTGCCCCCGAGCTCTTGTCATTCTCCGGTTCTTGTTTTTTCATCATCAACTAATTCAGCTTCCACAGTTTGAACAACCGATCCATCCTCTTTGTTCCCAAAGTTCCAGCCAACGACAGCTTTGCTTTCCTGTTCTAGAATATTCATGTTGTTATGGGATATTTGAGCTGTAAAATCCAGCAAATCTTTTCCACATTCTTCAGGGGAGGTAGTTGATGTCCAGAGCAAATTTGCATTACAGGTCATCTCCACAAAGTTTCCAGAAGAATTACTTTCTCCAGTCCTATAAACATTCTGAGATGAATTTGTAAAAGAAGTGGAGCCCCCGTGTCATAATTCTTCAACTCAGGCTTGATGGAAGCCTTGCTAATTAGGACTGCAGAATGATGATCGGAAATGGTGTCGCATAATCCGCTGCTACATGGAATCTCAAGACTGCCACTAGAATTGATGAAAGGAATTTTAACCTTTCCATCGTTTGTATACTGCACAGAAGGCTCATTTTCCACTTTTTTTAAAATCACTTTCTCATAGTGTAGTTTTTCAGTCTGACAAAGAGTTTCAAGTAGTCCAGACTTCCTATTCCAAATTCGAGGGCATGAAGTATCTGTTGATGGCAACCTTCCATCTGGGGTTACCAGTTTCTCCAGCCTTCCTCTCTTTGAAGTCTTTGCACCTGAAGAAACCCCAGTTGCAGTAGTTGTTCCCTCTTTTACAACAGGTTTTAGGCACAATACGTCTTCCTCAAGCTTTGTTAACCGGCCCTTACAATCTGCCAGTTCAGATTGCAACTCACCAACAATCTTCCGTAGGTGAACATTCTCCAAAGGCTGTTGCCCCAAACACCAAAGAGCAAAAGGAAAAAACAAACAATGGCATCAAGGTAACTTACACCACAGAGTAAAGAATGGGCCACAAAGAAATGTATATCCTAGTATCTTACTTGAGCTTCCCATGGTTGCTGGTGTATCAGAGAGAGTTTTGCGGTTGGTCTCATCGTACTTCCCTGGTTTGATGTGGTGGAAGCCGATGAAGAACCGGGTATTGGTGGCTGAATTGGAGAGAAATAAGGACAGTGTCCAGGGAAGGCACTGCTATGAGGAGGTAGTAGATGTTGTGGAAGGCTCAACCAAGATGAAGGATCCCAAGGGCCTATTAAATATTAACAAGTAATATCTTCTGCATTAGTGGCACATATAGCACTACATCAGAATTAATCAGCTATGAATGATCAAATTTAACTATGTTTATTCTTGAACTACTGTTAGAATGTATATGGCATATTTGCAAATATGGCCGTTGAAAACAGCAAACAATTAGTCAAAACACTCCTCAGTACTTCTTTGACACCTCAACAGACTTGATCCCAATACCACGACCTTCCAAGCCACATTCTCTGGGTAAATCAAATTTGTTCTGGAGAACTTGTCAGAAACTTCCCACAATGTCAAGCGTGAAACAGATTGATTGTGACATTATACCTGGAAAGCCTGGATATGGGTAGCCAACATGGTAACAATAGCTAGGACTCTGCTGCTGGCTTCTTAGAGTTGCTCCATAACCAGGTCCGCCCCTAATGCCAGGCGTTCCTGCAGGAGGAGGGACAGGCTGATAGAGAGCTGGCAGACTGGCACCCGGCAAATGTTGACCAGGGAGCAGGGGAATCCAGGATGGCATGTTGAGTTGTGTAAACGGGGGCATTGGTTGTTCCTGTTGGAACTGCTGCATAGTGCAAGTTTGTTGCTGATTCTGCGGTTGATGACACTGGCCTGGGATGAGTGGTGGAGGCAACTGGTTGAGACTGCAGGATTTTAGGATCAAAGGGGACTTTTCACAAGCAGGTTGAGATGAACAAGGAAATTGGACCCCATCTTCAGTATGCTCCTTCGGGGAAGTTGCATTTTCAAAGTGAAGAGCCGCCGACCGCTGTACTATTATTTTGATTTTGATGTTCAATTAGCTGTTCAAGAATGGATTCATTTATCGGCGTAAATAACACGAGGAAATTAAGCAATCAAGAGTACTAATAAGTAGTTATATTCCTGTAGCATTAAGGATCTCAATAAAATTAATTTCAATGCCATAATGCAGGAGGACAGGCACAAATCAAGTACTTTGACAGTGTCGAAAAATGATCTGCAAGAACTGCTGCTTGCTTGAATATTCTTTTAGAGGTAACCTTGAAGCACCAAAAGTAAGGGGAATTGATCAACTGGGAAATTAGGGACCGGTACAATTATTTGCGGAGTATTCTGGGGGAAAAAAAATCAAATCGGTCCTTCTATCTCTCTCTCGTTATCTGGGTACAACTCCCAACACATGCAGCAAGAAACAAAACATCAAGACGAAAAAAGAAAAAAGTGAAGAACCAAAAAAAACTTACTAATGATTTTTAAGTATGTTGTGAAAATAACGGGGAGCCCAGGAGTACTTTTTAGCAGGGAAACTTGCATATGAAAAATCCACCAAATAATGGAGTGAGGAGATGCATTACCCGTTCTCCATTGAACCACTAGCATCTGGAGAGGTAGAGTTTTCATGTTTTTTCTTTTTATTCTTCTAATTCATGGTTTTTTGCAAAGTGATTATTTCTTTCCCTACATTTTGAGAAAGGGGAGCAAAGGTATAAGTAAAGAGGGAGTAGAGCAGTGGCCTCCGCCGGTAAAAGCCTGCCGTACAAGTGTACAACAACAAGAGAAGTGGTGCGTTGGAATTTTAAGCCCCAAAGCCAGAAACAAGGAAAACGTGCGTGGTGCGGGAGCCGGGGAATTTCTACTTTTGGAGCACCATTTTCTAATTTCTACTCCATTGCCGCCCTGCCGCAAATTTGTCCTCTGTCTGGTCCATCACAGCCGTTTTTTTTTTTTTTTTTTTGGGTAATAAAAGATTGCATAAATAAAAATTTTAAGTCCGTACATCACATATTTGTTTGGGATGGAAGGACCCCTTAAATCACCACACAAAATAGTTCGTAGCTGAGGAGGACAGTTATGATAAGAGTGAAAAAGTCGACAAAAAGATTTCCATCCTCAAATCATCACAGCCGTTGCATTTTGCATCATTTTGACCTTTCTTCCTCAGCTCAACTGCACGAAGAACGAATGAGCATTGTATTTGACGATAGCCATCTTATTTTACCGGTTAAAGAGTCAAAGAACAAAAAATAATAATAATATAATAATAAAAGACAGAGCAAGGCAAACACTTGTCGAGTTTTAAAGGTGTTGAAGGCTTGTTTGGGGAGTTATTAGTGTCAAAAGCTCTTATTATTATTCAGTACTAATACACAAAGGATGGTCCTCGATCTTGGTTTTAAAATTTCTCATACAAATTCTATTAATCTTTTTTCTTGTGCACCAATTTTAAAAGTATCTGTTGGTGTACATTATTACCTTACTCTTGGAAGCCCATGCGCATAAAAAAAAAAAAAATTTTTTTTTTTGGAGCTCAGGCGTTCAACAGTATCCTCGAAAGAATTGATTGTATAAGATCAGTATTTTTGGAGTAGTACTTACGTAGACGAGATATAACCAGCAGAGCAGAGAAGAAACCAAATAAATAAGATAAAGAAATGATATATATATATATATATATATGCAGATAACGTTTCAGTAATAGAAGGATTTGATTTATTAAACGATCACAAGAAAAATTAACGTTAGAGAGTGAAAATATCAAGGCAACTAACGAGGTTGATAATTCCATGTGCACTAGATTCATGATTCTCGCAAGACATATTGGAAAAGGACGAGAGGGCACTGATCGATCGATCGAGGATGTTAAATAGAAGCTAGCAATTCCGAAAGAGAAGGCCTATAATGATGAGAAGCGTCTGTCAAATGAGCAAGGACGACTTGCCACCATATCAAAATCAGAAAGGCTTTGAACGTACGCAGGCAGTAGGAGGCAAGTCATCCTTGTTGGCGATGAAACCAGAGTCTCCTCCCCATTTTAGGCCAATCAGAGTCTTTCTACACAAAATGTTGATCCAATTAAGCCAGAAGAAGTACGTCTATTTTCTGAACGCAATTGATCGAATTGCTCAATATTCAAGACTGTACCTGAGGAGGCGATTTTTGGTTGGTAACTAGACCGACCTGGATCAGTCCTCTCTGAGATGAAGTGAGGTGAACTCCTGTGTCCGAAGTGAACCTCCTTGTCCGAAGTGAGTGGCGGGGCTTCTCCCCTGGTATCACTCCGACGATCAAGTTAGTATGAGAACGAGAATAATGAGAATGAGTTAATGAACAGTGTATGCTTACTTGTTGGGAGTGTGAGTGAGGTATTTATAGAAGAGAGGTGGTCAAGACGGAAGGCTCATGCTAGCGGGACCCACTCTCTGGCATTACGGCTCTGTCTCCTGTCAGGAGGTCTGACTCTGACACTGTAGCCGCCTGGGAGTGATGACGGAGGATATGGTGCAGGTGCCATTAAGTGCCTCCAGTGCTTTTCAGATAAAGTGCTGGTCCTGGATGATGTCAGGTGGGTTGACATCATCAGCGTGCAGCCGAGGTGGATGTGCCGAGGTCACCTACACGGTGGACTAGGGATGAAGCCGAGCTCTGGGGTTGTGCTCAAGACAGGGATGAGCTCCGGTGAGGGACGAGACTTGTGTTCACCTCGGACACCCGCGTGTCCGAGGTGAGCATCCTCAATAAGCCCCCCAAGCCTCGGGAGCTTCGGGCCAGGGAGGTACCGAGGCTTCCTTCTGCCGAAGTCGTGAAGAGTCGGTGTCCCGAGCCTACTCCGGAAGGTGCGGGGACGTGACACGTGGGCATGTCAGTTGAAGGGACCTGGAGAGTGAGTCGGCACGTAACCGTCACGTCGTGAAGTAGTGGGACGTTTCGTGCAGAGAGTGTCAGTTACAACGAGGACTCCAAGGAGTTGTGCGACCGGATGGCTGAAGGCCTCCAAACTGGAAGGAACCTGGCCGAGGTCCTGGCCGAGTTCAACAAATGGCTGTCCGAACTCGACGAAGTGTTCGAGGAGGTTGAAGAGGAAGAAACTGGAAGAGAGGATGCCGAGGGAGACGAAGCCGGAGGGGGCGAAGTCGGAGGGGACGTCGTGCAAAGAGCCTGGAGATGAAGTTCACCCCGGCGGAAAGGAGACCGAAGAGAAAGATGCCCAGGAGGGAGCCAAGACCGGGATTGGAGCCGATACGGGGATGTAGGCTCGTAGGCTTTAAAGGGGTGGCCGAGGTGAAAAGTGTTTAGTAGCACTCTGACCTCGGCCTTGTATTTTTTGTAACACTTCTGTTGAATGAAAGTCTATTTCTTCTCATCTCAGCTCTTTAATTTCTTGCTTTGCTTTGACTTCATCCCTTGCTTGTCCCCCTTATTTTTTGATAGCGTAATAACCCTATTGTTCTCAAGTCGTTAGCCGAGGTGGTAAAACGGGCAGATACCACCTTGATTTATAATGGGCCGAGGTGGCCCTTCGGGAGGTGCCACTGAGTAAGGTCGAGGTGGCCTTGCGGGAGGTGCCGCTGATTAAGGCCTAAGTGGCCCTGCGGGAGGTGCCACTGATTAAGGCGAGGTGGCCCTTCGGGAGGTGCCACTGCACTGAGGAAGGGCCTGCCACTGAGTAAGGCCGAGGTGGCCCTTCGGGAGGTGCCACTGAGGAAGGTCGAGATGGCCCTTCGGGAGGTGCCACTGAGTAAGGTCTAAGTGGCCCCACTGATTAAGGCCGAGGTGGCCCTTCGGGAGGTGCCACTGAGGAAGGTCGAGGTGGCCCTCGGGAGGTGCCGCTGAGGAAGGCCGAGGTGGCTCTTCGGGAGGTGCCACTGAGGAAGGCCTGCCACTGAGTAAGGCCTAAGTGGCCCTGCGGGAGGTGCGCTGAGAAGGCCGAGGTGGCCCTTCGGGAGGTGCCACTGAGGAAGGTCGAGGTGGCCCTTCGGGAGGTGCCACTGAGTAAGGCCTAAGTGGCCCTGCGGAGGTGCCACTGATTAAGGCCGAGGTGGCCCTGCGGGAGGTGCCGCTGAGGAAGGCCGAGGTGGCCCTGCGGCTCAGCTCGGCTGACTGAATTTTTCCTCAGAACCAAGTCTCCAGGCTGGAATTGAGCGGTGTCAGCTCAGCGTCCGAGAGTGGACGATCTTCCTTTCACTATTCGATCGAAAACACTCCGGCGGTCCCGGAGTTGGGTTGAAGTGCCACTTGGGCCGAGTTCACCTCGGCCGGTGTCTCCTCCGTGGATCTGGCCCCGTACGAGATGCTTGGGCTTCTCGCTTCATGCGGTTCACATCCTCACTTCGGATTCCCTGGTCCACTCTATCCCAGAGTTCCCGAAGTGTACGGGGGTACTCCCGATGGATTTCAGTGTTGAAGATTCCGCACCAATCCGTTGGTAAAGGCCGCGAGAGTTACCTGCTCATTCTGATCAGGTATTTGCACATTCTCCTCGTTGAACCTTTGAGCATACGAGCGAAGAGACTCGCCCTGACCCTGTTGAAGGTTCAAGAGATAAGCTGAAGTTTTCGTGATTGATCGAGACGACACGAAGCGGTGGATGAACCGATCTATCAGCTCATCCAGGGAGGAAATGCTCCCCGGTTCCAAACTCCAGAACCACTTCCGGGCAGTCCCATGTAGGAAAATGGGGAAAGCTCGGCAGATCACAGCGTCGGGACGCAGCAGTAGAGCCGGAATGCAGAGATGAAGGCGCGGAGATGATCCTCGGGGTCACTTCGGCCGTCATAGGTGGGCAAGTTTGGAAGCTTGAAGTTCGGGGGT